AAAAAAAACCACCACCAAAACACACAAAACACACACACACACACACACACACACACACACACACACACACACACACACACACACACACACTCCAAATACCTTTTCTCTCAGTTAATATGGGAACACTTTTCTTGACTTTTTATAAGCCAAATGTGAAACACATGTGAAAGCCTTCTGAAAACAGAAAATATACAGGCATATATCTGGAGGGAGGAGAGGGGACTGGAAAGATGGTTCACCAGCTAGGGGTGCTAGATGTTCTTACAGAGAACCAAAGTTAAACTTTGAACACACAGATCCTGTGGCTAGCATCTCCCCGTAAATCCAGCTCCAGAAGGCCCAACATCTACTTTGGATTTTGAAGATAAATACACACATGTACCAAAAAAAAAATTAAAATTTGGGCCAAGCATGATGGCACACACCTTGATACTAGCACTCAGAAGGCAGAAGCAAACAGATCTCTGTGACTTCAAGGCCAGCCTGTAATACATGGCAATTACCAAGTTAGCCAGGGCTACATAGTGAGATTGTCTCAAAATAAGTAGAATAAATGAAATATTTCAAGGAAAAAGAGCTCTAGTCTAATACATGCATTTTGCCACCTATTTGATAATAATGACTCTGGTTTAGTAAAACATTTAGGTAAAAAGTTAGCATTTTAACATACCTTGTTAAATACTGCAAATAAAATATGAAGTCTGTTAAGCCATCCCCTTCATTCCCTGAAGTATTATATTAACATCCTGTAATAGGCTTTTACTTTGGTCACTGTTGCTCTCTAAAAGTTGTACTCAGGTTGGGAGTGGTTTATAATGAGATGTAACAATTAGTCTCAATGGGAGCTGGAAAGATGGCTAACTGGTTAAGAACACAAGCCACTCTTCCAAAGAACTGGGGTTAAAATTCCAGCTCTTCCAAAGAACTAGGGTTAAATTCCCTGCACCTACACAGAGTTTCAACCATCTGTAACTACAATTCCAGGAGATCCTATGGTCTCTTCTGGCCACCATGAGCAACAGGCATGCATGTGGTACACAGACATATAAAGACAATTATATGCATTAAACTTTTTTAATTTTAAAGTTTGGCAGGTAGATTTTTAGCTCAGTTTAACTAATCTCATAATTAATAAAGTTAATAATGAGTAAGATAATTTATTATGCTGCATCATCTAAGACTGTGCTTGGTTTCCATCCCCCATCAATCAATGCACTATCATCTAAGAATAGTCTTCTTTTATTCCTTATTACATTGTATCTCTTAATCAAAAGTAAATGGGTGCTAGAAAGAAGTGGGAAGGTCCTCCTAAAATTCAACATTAAAAACCAATGTAACCCAATTCAAACAAGTCAAAAGATTTGAAAAGACATCTCTCCAAACAATATGCATAATGACTAATAATCACATTAAAAGTTCTCAGTTTCTCTCATAATTAGAGAAATACAAGTGTAAACTCCAATTCAGTACTACTTTATACCCACTGGGTTGGCTACAATACAAAATAAAGCATTTCCCTCCAAAACCAAAACATTTTGGCAAGGATGTGGAGAAATTTTCATGCAAATGTCTGAGTTCATGGCATTTTAAGATAGTGCAGCTGTTATATGGTAGTTGCTTAAAAATTAAAAACAATTACCATGTGATCCAACAATTCTACATTGGATAGAGATATTTATAGTCATGTTTTCAGAAGTATTATTCACAATAGCTAAAATGTAAAAGCAACCCAGTGTCTACAGGGAGACAAGTGGATAAGCAAAAGTCAGTATTATACAAGTGTTTTTGACCCACTGAGGCATATTGCTTTCCCTATAATATTAATTTTCAAAACAAAAAGTTTAAACAAGCAAGTTTTCATATAAAAAATCTCAAAGATAATGTAGTTTTTACGGTGGATGAACATCATTATATTACATATATCTGTATGTGTACCACACACAATCAGAAAACAACTTGTACAAGTCAGACCTCTTCTACCGTGTGGGTTGTAGGCATCTAGGC